ATCAAAGCAAAAAACCTCCAGCTACTTGGAAACCTGCTTACCAGCAGCCCAAAGGAAAAAAAATTCCTTTTCAAACCTATGCTCCTTGTAAAAAAAAAAAGATCAAAATCCTAAAAAAAAAAAAAAAAAAAAACAACCTGCCACTTTTGTCTCCAGGCAAATGGGTAAAACACCCCCGCCTGTTTACTTTTAGGGAAAAAAAGACCTCTGGTTTGGAAGACTGTGAATATCCCTGCAGAAGTTAAGTACCCTACCTCCAGGCAAAGAAAACCTGCAATTCAGAAAGATAATCCCCTTTTGTCTCTGCTCTGGCCCCAAAGCAGAGGAAAAACTAGTTGCTTTCAGCTGGACCTCCTTTCCAGCAGCCCCAAAGGAAAAAAAATATTTCCTTTTTAAAATCTGATTTTCTGGTTCAAAAAAATCTCAAATTGATCTCAAAATGATTTCAGGTTAATCCCACCACTCTGCCACCATGTCAAGGTTCCTCCCCCACTCTGAACTCTAGGGTACAGATGTGGGGACCTGCATGAAAATCTCCTTAGCTTACTTTCACCAGCTTAGGTTAAAACTTCCCCAAGGTACAAATTAATTTTATCCTTTGACCCTGGATCTCCACTGCCACCACCAAACTCTAACTGGGTTTACTGGGAAACGTAGATGGACACGTCTTTCCCCCCAAAATCCTCCCAACCCTTGCACCCCACTTCCTGGGGAAGGTTTGGTAAAAATCTTCACCAATTTGCATAGGTGACCACAGACCCAAACCCTTGGATCTGAGAACAATGAAAAAGCATTCAGTTTTCTTACAAGAAGACTTTTAATAGAAGTAAAGGAATCACCTCTGTAAATTAGGATGGTAGATACCTTACAAGGTAATTAGATTCAAAACATAGAGAATTCCTCTAGGCAAAACCTTAAGTTACAAAAAAGACACACAGACAGGAATAGTCATTCTATTCAGCACAGTTCTTTTCTCAGCCATTTAAAGAAATCATAATCTAACACATACCTAGCTAGATTACTTACTAAAGTTCTAAGACTCCATTCCTGTTCTATCCCCGGCAAAAGCAGCATACAGACAGACCCAGAGCCTTTGTTTCTCTCCCTCCTCCCAGCTTTTGAAAGTATCTTGTCTCCTCATTGGTCATTTTGGTCAGGTACCAGCGAGGTTACCTTTAACTTCTTAACCCTTTACAGGTGAGAGGATTTTTCCTCTGGGCAGGAGGGATTTTAAAGGGGTTTACCCTTCCCTTTATATTTATGACAGCATCACACCCTGTTTAAAACTGGTGGCAATGTTATACTGGCAGCATGTATGGTGAGCTCACTTTTTCTGTTCTAATAGGTTTCTTCAAAAACTGCTATCAGCCCATAATCATCTTTGATTTACTGTAACACTCAACTGCCCCCAGGTAAAGACTTTGTCTCAGACAACAGCAACTAAATCTGAAATTAATGTAATTTTTGGTATCACATATCCAGATATAATTATGGAGATTTCCTTGTCTAATTCTGACAAATGGAGCCAGTAAAGTCAATTACTGCCTCTCTACAAACTGGAAACCTAACATGGGCATCCCACAGAAGAAATTCCTGTATGTTTATAAATTGTAGATGGAAGGACACCAGCATGGTGGAAATCTGATAAAATACTGATGGCCTTTTTGCAGTCTCTTCTGGAAAGCTCACACTTCAGACTTTGCCCCTGCTCCTGTACTCAGTAGCCCTTAGCATATCAATTTAAAGAATCAAGCTCTTGCGAACTTTGATGTTAACTGACTCAGACAGTGAATAACTATTTACCAGCATTTAACATATAATATCTAATTATCTGAAATGGACCTAAGATGTACAAATTTCCACAAAGTTTGAGTGGGTTCAGAACCAAGCATTGGACCCTGCGTATAGAGGTGTGCTCCAGCCCTAAAGTTCATATCCAAAGCTAAACTTAGCTAAAGTTTGAGAGGGTTTGGATCTGCCTTTCCACTCTTAGCTGATCTCTAATACATTAGTTTTATAGTCAGAGATGGTAGTATCTGCTGCACTTATGTTTGCCTGACACTTCCCACTTCTTTGATAAACTTTCACTGTTCAGCTGCAAATTTCCATATCATAGAATCATAGAAGATTAGGGTTGGAAGAGACCTCAGGAGGTCATCTAATCCACCCACCCTGCTCAAAGCAGGACCAACGCCAACTAAATCATCCCAGCCAGGGCTTTGTCAAGCTGGGCCTAAAAAATCTCACGGGTTTCCCTCAGGCTGAATTTTTCTAAAAAGTTTCAGCTAAAATGTTTTAGCCATTTCAGGTAATAATATAAGAGAAAAAATGTTTTACCCATCTCAAAAAAAAGTTATTACAAAAGTTTTATTAACCAGCTGTCTAGCAGCCCCAGCCTTTGGTATGAGGACTAGAAATGTGGTGCAGTGTTGCCTTTTTTGCCTGAAAACAGAAGGGTTGCATATAAAACAAAATCACAATATGATTCCTAGAGACTAAACTTAACAGGCCAAACTCCAGTCTGAATGAGTTTCTCACCCTAAATGTCTTCTGCAGGGCTAGTTGTGATCCTATTTTCATGAATGTAATCACACTGCCCGGTTACTTCCTAGGTGCAGGATAAAGCTGTCTTCCTTGCTTTTCTCTTATATTCCCAAAGTTAATTGTAACCCAGTGTGTGCAAACTGAGATTTTTCAGCAGCTAAAACTCAGCAAAGTTGTGCATTTTTGTCTCACATTCTTGTTCACATTCTCTTAAATCTTGATCTTTGGTAATAAACTTACAATTGTTTTCACTATAAATATATCTCAGTGTGGTAGTATTGTTCAGGATGCTGATCCTGAGTTGAGTCATTCAAGCTGGTGTGTACAGCTAATCTGGTACTTCTGTGACCTGTTCAGTAGAGAAGGGGCTGGACACTACTTCAAAGAGGTTTAAAGAGTGGGGTATATCTATTGTTAACCTTCAAAATAAAGTAAAGCCTGACATAGCCCAGAGGAGATTGTTTGGGAGGGGGGGTACCAGGCTGAAGTGGTGGTGTCAAGTAGCTGACAGCCAGTTAAGCACAAGTCTCTCTCTCGCCGGTGGCAGGGGGGTAACAAGGTGACTCACAGTCCTGGGTACCATAAGAACCATCACATAAAAGTGCTATATAATGCAAACAAACCTAAAAAATAAAAGGGGCCCTGTTTCTTCTGTGGAAGAGGTGCCTTCCTACACACCAGCCTTCAGTTTGTGGAAGAGGTTCAAACATGTCAGTATGAGATATAATATCCTCCCTCTCACAGATGTGCATCTCTCCTCCAAGCCATTGCCAGTGCCCGCCTTAGAAACACAAATGAACAACTAAAAGTCAATCTTTATTGCTATATATTTTTCATTTGTCCTTTTGCTTTAACTCCTAGGTGTGTACCTGCCGAACAATCAGGGGAGCTACTTCATTCCTATGAATCCCAAATCAAAATTCAACATATATATTTTATACTAACACACTCTATATATTATTTAAAGAAAAACACCTGTGTACTAATTGAGTGTCATGTGTTAACTTAAAACCATGGGCGGAACATTATGTAATCTTTAGCTATTGGCTACTGTGCTTATCTTGTCTTGCTGCTAGACCTATCCAGGGGTTTGGTATTGCCTACCCTGTCATTTCCATCCACCCATGAAAAATCCATATAATCCATTGTAATCAATTGTTTGGCAGTGTCTCTAAGCTTAATAAGCAAGGTAACACTCCAACAGCGCTGTGCATAATAAACCCACATGTTTAATTCTACACGGTGTCCATATTTTGTTCCTTCACTAAGTATGCTGATAAATCAGGTGTATGTGTCTCATACTGCACATCCCAAAGTAGTGGGCACTTTTGAACACAATCTTTCTGTGTCTCACTTCCTCATGTGTAAATTGGGGATAATATAATCCCTTGAATTTACATGAGTACTTTGAAAATAATTAATTAATGTTTGTGAAGCACTCAAATATTACAGTAATGAGCACCATGGGGAAAATAAAAGCCCATGATGAAATTAATAATTGTATAATCTGAAAAGATTTGGAATAGTGTGCTGTAAATAGTGCCTGGGGCTACACACTGAACAGTGAGGAAAAAAACAAAAACATTGAATAGCAGGTCATTCAGTCACCACCACCATTTTGTGGACTGAATGAGGCTGATACACTGTGGTAAAAACCAGTATGTGATCACATAATTAATGGCTGTATCATTATTCATACACATAAGGGGGCAAATTAAAGTTGCACAGACTACCTTAATTCTGGTATTTCCCGTCTTTCGAGTGCTTGACTTTGCAACCTTAACATTCTTGTAATGTTGTTTTTGTGTGTGAGATACATATATACAATTTGACTTCACTCAGTAATAAAATACAGCAGCTGTTCAGAAAAACACAGCAGTTCAGTAACGTAGAGAAACATTACACAACAGATTGAAAGACTAGAGCAGGAAGTGAAGAAGACTGTATCCAATTCAAACTAAAACAGGAATTTTTTAAAAGTATTATGTAAATGGAATTTGACCAGGACATTAGGACACTCCTGTACTTCCAAAAAGTGTCATAGGTCCTGACCATATATGGCCATTAAAGAACCTGTGTTTTAGGATTATCCCATACACGGTGCTTTTCTCAACTGCGATAGATAATACCATGCTAGATCACAGCTGGCACACTGAGGAGAATGCCACTTACTGACTATCTAAAAAATGCCCTTTCCTGAACACTCCAAGTTTCCACCAAGCCAGATCCTATATAGGTTTTGGAGGTTTGCGTTCACAGTCCAAGGTGCAGAATGATGATGGATACAAAAATAGAATGACATTTAATATTCCAAACACATGTTAAATGAAGGGTTTTAAATTAATAATGATTAAGAAAAATACATATATTTTAATACCATATACCTCCAGTTAACTCGTAGGAAACAAATATCAATATCCTCCTTTCTAGGAAACATAATGAACACATTATAGTACCTGTGTATGAAAACTGAACAAGATCCCACAGCGCATTAGGGTCTATGCCTTCCATTTTGATCTCCTCTTGCTTGGCCTCACAAACATCACTTGTGAACATGGCAGCAAAGTAGTCAGAGACAGAACTGAGAACAAGCCTACAAAAAAGTGACATAGGTGTCAGTAAAATTACTGCATTTCCATTAGTTCCCTAAAATGCTTACATTAAGAACACTCACAGATTTTTATTTGTTAAAAATGTTATTTTAATATAAGTACAAAGTAGGATCAGTATTTTATTAATATCTGTAGGTGGAGAGATATAAAATTACAAGTGGGCTAATGATTCTCATTATAATTTGTTTTTGCATCACAGTGTAACTCAAGTGGTGCATAAGCACAGAAGTACAAAAGCAGAACAGGCAAATTGGTTTACAGTCTTAGTTGCTGAGGCTCTATCAGTCAGTATCAGAAACAATGTCACTTTTGTTAAGATAACCACCACGTGGGGTCAAAGCCAGATTATGAGAGAAACTGGTACCATGCATCAGAGGTGCTCTTAACACCTTCCAGAAAGGTCAGATTGTGGTACCTTTACTCACAGCAAGCAGTATCTGAACTCCACACATAACAAGTTAGATTTCAGTGGGATTATTTATAGTGTAAGGTACTATTAAACGTGACCAAAGACATCAAAATCTAGTGGAAACAAATTGTTTATTTAGGAGACATTACATATAGAAAATTAATTGCTTAATTGCTACCATCTATGGCTGGTTTGTCTGGGGACATAATTTGTATAAAACTAAGATACTGAAAGAAATATATATGAGGAATATCCTATTTTTTAAGACCCAAACACCAGATCTTTAAACATTCATTCAAATGTCAATTTACAACAATGTGACGTTGGGCCCTTTGTCAGGCGTGGACATTTACAGAAAATAATAGGATCAGAAAATGTTTGGGGGGACCTAAACACAGAATAAGTCCTACACACTGTAATAAACCATAACAATTGTCCTAGTCTTATATTTTCAGAACAGTCAATGCACAAGTGCATAGCTGCAAGAGGGGGCAGGAACAGCCCTGGGAGATGCTCACTCCCCTTGCATGAGGATGTGTATTCAGTACCAATCATCACATCCAGATCTGATACATTCACATACTTATTCTATCGGGCCTTTAATGACAATAAGAGAAAAATACATCACAATACAGCACTTTTAAAAAAAAGACAATACCTTTTATTTGGCTCTCAAGAGACTCCTAACTGATTCATGATCAAAGTATTATTTAATACTTGGAAACATTCTGTCAGATAAAGTCTGTCTCAAGTAGTAGATAGTAAGTCATTTTGTTTTAAATCTCACATCTAAGGCATGACCTTATTCCCATGTGACGAATCCCATATTGTTTTTATTTATTAATTATTGTCTTGGATTTAATAGCCTAGCTGTAAATTAGACAATTAGACTTCGAAGTAATGGCTGATTAAAAAAACATCAAAGGTTGGCTAAACTTCAAAGGAGAACTTTACTTCATTAAAATGCTATTCACAGATTCATAGGCTTCTGATGGATAAAAATACTGTGTAAAAATGCACTGATTAAATAAAGTTGAACAATATTCTTTTAAAACAATTAAATATCTTTTCTCTAATTTTCACCATTCATAACATAGCCATACATTATTGATGTTATATTATAACATATCCAGATAAAGGGAGAATTCCTGACCTAACTCAGAGGTGCAGTGGATGGAAGAAATATAGCAGTGAAGGACAGGAGTGCTATTCGTATCTCTTGCCAAGCCTCTCCAAGGGCAAGCAAGGGGATTGTGAAGAGGCTACTTGGACTAGCCATCTGCACTAGCACACCCACACAAACGAGCCAAGATTTTGTCTAGGGACTAGTTAGGATTTCTTTAAAAATAGCCTACAGCAACATCTGAGTAACATACTAATCGTGAAAAAATAGCTATATTAGCAATGGAAAAGACCAATAATTCCACAACATTCTAAAACTTTTTTCCCTTTAATATTATTTATTAAACAAGTGAAATTCAATTGAAAGACACTTCCTAATTAATTTTTTTTGAAAGGTAACACTTTATTAAATCATACTAGTGCTTCACAAACATCCAATATTCAAATGGCATTAAATAAGAAGATATCAAAGGGCTCAATTAATCTATAGTGATCTACTACTTTCTGCACCTCTCGAGGCTACAACTAGTTGTAAATCTTGGCCTAGAGGTATGCTGACCTATTCAACAGAAAGGTCAGTTGTCTCCTGGATGTCATTTACTTTTTTCCAACTACTGCCTTGGCCATGGGAATATACTAATGAATCTCTCTTCCTTTGAAGATCATTACATCCAGTTCTTCACATAGCTTCAGAGATGATTCATGGAGAGACAAATAATTTGTGGGGGGAGAGGAATTTAATCCAAGATACTGAAAGAAATATTGACTTCTTAATTGCACCAACCATTAGCTGAAATTGCAACCTGATCCCAATAACCCCCAAAACTTTCCTGTTTCCACTTGCAACATGTTATGTACTGGCAAGCTTTTCCCATTTTATTTCTGTCTGACTTCTTTCATAGTACAATGATGCCTTATAATTTTCCCAGCAGTCTTGTGACAGCCTAGGCCCCTATGATCACTCTGTTAGAAAGTTATGATATATTTTGTACAAAGTACGTCTTGTGAGTATCATTTGACAACTCAGTCTGCTGAACATTACTGTCTTGGTAAAATGTGTGTATCAACATTGTATGTACAATTATAAGATTCTACTCTATAACAATGCTGTAACATGCTCCACAGTTAGAAAGCAGGCCAAAAAACAGTTTTGCAGAGACAACAAGACTATAACTTAGTTAACTGAACATTATCCAGCAGGGCAGAAAGTGTGAACAAGAAATTTACATTCCATCACAGGGATGACCTAAAACTCACACCCACAAGAGACTATTTTTCACTATGACTGAGCAAGAGTGTCTCTAGTACAAGAAATTGAATTATAAAGAGGGAAGAAAAATGCTTTATCTCACTCTCCTCCTTCACCTCTGCTTATGACTTCAATGACTCCTACAGAACTGAACTTTGTGGGGGGAAGGGCGAGATCCTGGCTGAAAAGAAACTCAGCTGGTGGACTGCAAAATATCTGGTGAGAGAGATATTTAATTTGAATCCCTTCTAGTTTGTTAAGTTAGATGTCAGTTGCATTTCATCTTTTATTTATTTTGTAACCAATCCTCACTTTTTATGCCTCTTTACTTTTAGACACTTAAAATCTTTCTTTTCATTCTGGTAGTTATAAAGTTATCTTATTGTTTTATCTTAACCAGTGTGTTTGGATTAAATGTGAGGGAAACTCCATTTGGGATAGCAATGCTGGTCATATCATTTTCCTGTGATGAAATGACAGACTTTACATGACCTTGCACTGTTCAGTAGTGTGCTGGGAAATATAGGACACGCATTTCTGGGGGAAAGTTTGGAACTAGAGAATCTTCTGGTGTTCTTCTGCAGTGTGATTCATGACTGGCTAGCTGGTAGCACTCAATGCTGTGTAACTGAGAGCAAGTTACAAGCTGGAGGCTGTGTGTTAACGAGCCAGGAGTGGCTGTTCATGACTAAAGCAGTGTAAAAGGCATCCCAAGTTGGAGAACTGAGGAGTCACAGCTATTCAGCAGTCCAGATGGTATCCTGGGTAATGTCACAAGTCTACATACAACCGTCCAGTAACACAGCAGGAAACGTCTCGGGGTTCCTTACTGCATAAGGACATTTAGGGCCTAATTCTTCTCATACTAGTTTATTCCATTGACTTCAGTGGAACTGCTTACAGCAGTGTAAATGAGAAGAGAAAGACACTAATGGCATCTGCTTCAGCATTCAGAAATATTTTACATTAAAAATATTGCCCTTTTTCTGATGGTGAGACACAAAAGATATTTTACTTGATGCAGTTATGTAGAATTACATAAAAATACTTCATGTTATGGGTCTGCAGAAAATGCTCGATTTTAAAATAGGCAACCTGGTTTGAATAAAAATAGAGATGAACCTTCACCAGAAATTACTGGAGAAAGCATTCCCTCAAGATCAAAATAATCTGATTACGTCTCTCTACCATTCATTCTTTATTTGCTACCCTTGGTACATCATGGTTTCAACAGGTATTGGAAGCGGAAAAACAAAAATGAAGGCTACAGTAGGGGAACTGTATCCTGAAAAGCAATGATTGTGAAAAGGAGTTAGTGCTCAAAGTGGACAAGGAACAAAAAATGAGCTTCCAGGGTGGCCAGAAGGGTTAATGCAGCCCGTGAATGCACAAACAGATGAGTAGGAGTCCTTCAGGAGCTCAATCTGTTCAATTTATCAAAAAGAAGGCTGAAAGGTGACTAGATCGTAGTGTCTAAGTAGCTTCACAGGGAGAAAATACCAAGTATTAAAGAGCTCTTTAACCTAGTGGAGAAAGGTATAACAAGAAACATTTACTGGAAGTTGAAGGCCAACAAATTCAATCAGATATAAGGAGCATATGTTTGACAGTGGAGGTGACTAGCCACTGAGACAAGCTACCAAAGAAGTGGTGGATTCTCCATCTTGTGATGTCTCCAACTCAAGATTGGATGCTTTTAGTAAAACACAGGTTACTGGGCTCAATACAGGGGTAACTGGGTGAAATTCTATTGCCTGTGTGTTATGCAGGAGGTCAGACAAGATGATCTAGTCATCCCTTCAACCTTAAAAAAATTATGAATCTGATCTCTTGAGCTGTGTTCTGTTACCATGACAAGCAGAGTGGCAGAACTGGGCAATTTACTTTTTGCTAATTAAGTCTAAAATGGGTTTCCATATTTATTTTTGTATTTTCCTGTAGCACCCACTTTTCATATAAATATCTACAAGAAGAAGTTTGTGGGGAAGAAAAGTTAGGATAAGAGGGCTAGGTTCACAAAGGGAATTAGGTGTTGCAATGCCTATTCAAAACTCAGTGGGATGCACAAAGCTTGAGTTAGGCACTCAGGCTTCCTACAAAATGAGTGTAGGGAAACGGGCACCTAAAAATGGGATTCACAAAAGCCAGCATGCTGAGCAGGGAGCTACCTAAGATAGCTAACAGGAGATGCCAATGAGGGG